CCCAGCCACCATCGTCCCCACCGATGCCCCGCACCGGCACCTCGGGGTGGCAGAGCTGGGACAAACAGGTCCTGGCATTTGGGCGTCCCGATGGCCACGTGGCTTGGGGAGCACCTTCCATGGAGGCTCTGTCCTACGTGTCACCCTGTGCTGGGCATGTGCCAGTGTGGCGAGTCCGGGCCCTTTATCCGAAACTCCCTGTGGAGAGCAGAGGTGGGACCTGCCAGCCCGACCAGGGATGGGGAGGAAGGGGGGGACAGATCCGCATGGTGCTGGCAGAGGGGAGGACATGAGAGTCAGACGCTCCAGAAACCATCCAGGCCTTCTGCAGAAGATGTCTTCTGCCGGGGCAACATGAGAGGCTGAGCTGATGGACGAAGGCTGAGAAGATCAGGGAAGGATCCCACCAACATCTGTGGCATCAAGATCTACCAGCTGCAAACCAGGAGCTTCTGGGTGCGGGTCCTTGTCGCTCCCGTCCCCGGGGACAGGGTCTCGGTTCTTGGTGCTCCACCTCAGAAGCAAATCCCATCCCGTGGAGAGCTCTTGGGTTTCAACAACAGCTTGCAAAGCCCCGAAGACCCTCAGCAGAGAGGAGCGAGGTGTTGGTGGCCTTCTCGGGAACCCGGAGCCGCCGTGGAGAAGGGAAAGGCAGCAAGTTGTGTTGAGCTGGTACGTGACTGGCAAGCCCTTCCCTCCTCCCCAGAACACAGATAGCCCAGAACGGGGATGGAAAGTGCCGTGTTTCCGTAGCAACCAACATTTTCGTGCAAGGTGCTGCACGCACTCCACGCGTTTTGCCACCCAAGGGTGCTCCTCACCTTCCTGCTCCACGCAGAGGGGGGGTTCTGCCCGGTGGGACGCCTGTGCCCAGGTGGCAGAGCGGGTCCCCAGCCGGGCACTGGGGCCACGATGCCCCGTTGACACCTGGTGGGCTCCGTCCCTCCTCCTCCTCCTCACCCGCAGCGAAGGAGCCCAAAGCGTTGGAGCGATGTTGGGTGGCTCCTGGCTGTGGCACGGTGATGCCGGCATGGCACCTCCTGGCAGCCTTTGCCGTGCCACCCCCTGCCCATGCCCACCATCTCCAACATCACCCAGCACAAGCCACCAGTGGAGATGGGCACAACCATCATCGCCGCAGCCCCCTCAGACGATGCTGGGGGCCGTGGTGGCTCTCCCCATGCCATCACCTGTGTCCGTGGTGACCCCGGCTCCTACCCATCCACCTCGGCTTGTCTGAGCCACACGAGGGGACACCGCGGGGACCGGTGGCTCCAAAACCCACACGCAGCCCCCCATCGCATGGGGA